TCTCGGTGATAGAAGACTTCCAGATTTACAGTAATGCGTCTTTAAAAGGACTTGGATGTGTGCTTATTCAAAATTGGAAGGCAATTTCTTATGCTTCTAGAAAATTGAATAATCATGGGAAAAATTATCCAACATAATTTTGAGCTAGTAGTAGTTTTTTATTTTTCTTTTTGCTTTTAAAATATGGAGATTTATTTTTATGGAATTAGGTGCGAAGCATTCACTGATTAACAAAGCTTGAAATATATTTTCACACAGGAGGCAAAGGAGATGGCTTGAGCTCATTAAAAATTTGGGGAATTCACATACATACCACAAAAAACTATTATATTTACATATCAATCACTTAAAATCTAGTATTTACTATTCTACCACCTAAAACTTCTCTATTCATAAAAAATATCACTCCTACCTTTTCTGTTAACTCTCAGTTCGACAAACCCTCATCCTGTGCGACAACACCACCTCCGTGATTCATTTACAGCTCAGAGCTCTCCCAACACCTACCATTCTACATCCTCATCGCTCCACTGTTTCCATCAGCAAAGCTTGTCTTCATTTATGTGCAACTCAATTTTGCTACATTGTGTGGAAAAATAGGGCACCTTGAACTTGTCCCTCTCACGAATCAAAGTGATAGAGGCGTCAATTACTTGATTTTGCCATTTCTCTATCAAACTAGCAGAGATATTGACAGATCATGATTTCGTGAGGTGATGCAACCACTTCTTTCCATAAATCATCTCTGCAGATTTAGAAAATCCAGCAGATGATTGAAGACGAGCGACTGACAGTAGGAATAGAGCAACGAAGCTGCAACATAGCTATTGGGAGATTACGAGCTGCAAACGTGAAAGGGATAAGATGCAAACGAAGGAGAAACAAAGATAGACAGAGTTGCATTTTTTAGGGTGTTGGGCCATTTTAGGTGCTGTAATGGCAAATATTAGGTTTTAGGTGTTAGATAGGTAAATAGAGTAGTTTTAAGTGGTATGTATGTAAATTTCCCTAGAAATTGCTATACGGATAGATAATAAAATCCCGGGAAAGCAAATGCAGTTGCAGAAGCGCTAAGCAAGAAAGCAGGTGGCAATGCTAATTAGATAATTACACAACAAGAACTAATTAAAGATATGGAATGCTTGCAATTATCTGTAGTGGTATCAAATGATCAAAGTTTAGCACTACTGAGTTCAATGTCAATTCAACCAATTTTGAAAGACAGAATATGAGATGCATTGAAACAAGATACAAAATTTCATAAAATATCAAACGAAGTGAATGCATATCAGATGGATAAATATGACATCGATGCATATAAGCTGTTGAGATACAAGAAAAATATTTGTATTCCTGATGTGAATGGTTTATGTAAAAAATATTATGAGGCACAATATTCAAGCTACACAATATATCCAAGAAGCAACAAGATGTATCACAAACAGAAAAGTTTATTATGGTGGTGGGGGCTAAAGCATCATGTAGCAGAGCTCGTGACAAAGTGTCCTACCTATCGAGTGATTAAAGCTGACCATCAGAAGTCGAGTGAGTTGTTACCACAGTTGTATATACCATAGTGAAAATAAGAGGAAATTGCTATGGATTTTATGATTAGGCTACTTAGGTCAAAGCAAGGCCATCATGCCATATGGGTGATTATTGATCATCTACTAAATTTGCACTTTTATTGCCAATCAGACAAATAGACTTTGTGGATAAGCTAGCTAGATATGTAGATGAAATTGTACATCTTAGAGTCCCGGTCAATTGTATAAGATCGAGATGGTAGATTTACTTCCAGATTATGAAGGAAACCTCATGAATCTTTGGGTACTCAAATGACACTCATTACAACTTTTCTTCTCTAAACAGATTGTCAATCAAAAAGAACGATTCAAGTCTTAGAAGACCGGCTTAGACTTTGAGTGTTGACTTTGTTAAAAATTAGAAACTCTATACATCTCAAGGAATTTACCTATAATAATAACTTTCAGACCAATATCGATATGACTACTTATGAAGCCCTATATGGAAGGAAATGATGGCACCTCTTTGTTGAGTGAAAATTAACGAACGAAAATTAATCAGTGTTGATTTAATTGATGAAACAATTGAGAAAATTTGGTCGATTTGTGATAAGACTAAGAGTAGTCCAAAATATGCAGAGGAAGTATTAACATATTAAGCACCGACCAGTGGAATTTGAAGTGGGGAAATTTATTTTTTTGAAGGTCAGTATGATGAAAGATGCTAAGCGTTTTGGAAAGTTTGATAAGTTGAGTCAATGATATGTTGGTCCGTATGAAAAAGTAGAGAATATTGGGAAGGTTGCTTATAGGCTTGCCCTACGTACACATATGTAAAGGGTGCATAATGTGTTCCATATCTCTTTACTGCAAGAAATTAATTACTGATGATGCTAGAAAAATCATTATAGACCCCATAAATGTTCAATCTGACCTGACATTTGTGGATGAAAAAGAAAAAATCATAGATTATGATGTGGAGCAGTTCAGAAGTAGAGATTCTTTTTTTTTCGTGTATTATGGAAGCATCAAACTAAAAAAGATGCTACTTGGGAGAATAAATTTGAAATGAGAGAAAACTATTCACACATTTTTAATTGAGATATTAATTATGTTTTTTCACTTTAAATTTCTAGGTCGAACTTTTTATAAGGATAGGAGATTATAATAATAACATGTTAAAAAAATGAATTTACGGCTAAGACACACGTTTTACATGTATCGATCAGAAGTCTACCACCATCATGGGAGTGTATACAAGGATTATTCCTCGTCTCCTCTCATTTTAACACACCGCACACAAAAGGCAAGGGAGAGATTTAGAGAGAAACGGTGAGCGTGAATGTCAGGGGAAAGGAATCGAGGAATAATAAACCGAAGAAGAAGAAGAAGATGATGATGAGGAAAGGAAGGAAGAGGAGACAAGCGGCTCACTTATTTCATCTTTTCCTTCCATTCTCACAATAGAACGAACGTGACAGACACTCGAGCGATTCACTTGAACGTTTTGTGTTCAGAGATGCATGGTCCCAAGCATCTCAACTCTTCCAAGGCTAGACACGAGCATGAGCGACAAATATGGAAGAAATTGAGCCCTCGTGCGTTTGTTCCTTGTTTGAGGAAGAAGAAGATTGAGGCTTCATGTGCACTAATCGAGCACAAGAAGAGGGTGGACTTGTGCAGCTTTTTCCTCACCGAGAGAGATATTCGAGCTTATTTCTGCATGGTCCGAGTGTAGAAGCATCAACCACAATAATCAGTGAGGGTTTTATCATCCTTAAGTAACAAATTTTATTTCTAGATAATTTGATTTAAACTCAAAAAAATCCTAATAACTAATTCCTTAAATTATGATTGAAAATTATTTAAGATTTGACATAGAGGTTGAAATCGAAAAGAGGAAAAGAGAAATTAAAGGTATGATATCTATAAGCAAAAACTAAATATCTAATTTTTTATTTACTATTTTGTTTAGTTGTAAATTTAAGCTAAATTTTCAAAAGCAATAATTAAAGCTCTATTACAAAATTTTAATCAAATGCACTTGAGTAATAAGGTTTCCATATTTCATAAAATTTCAAAAATTTAATGATATTAATGCATATAATTTTATTGGTTTATTACACATGCATGTTTAATTAATTAAGGAGTTTAATGTTATAAAAGAAAGATAACTTAGTAACATAAAAGAACAAATTAATAGAAATTAATTAAATTTAAATTATTATTATGGTTGAGCCAAATGAATATAGGATCGAGGAAAGGATAGTGAGCCAAATAAAATATGATACATGCATACATATGAAGTCACCCCATATGATATTGGTTGGAGAAGTGATGTATCTGTGTACAAATGTAAATGGAAATAAAAATTGTAAAGAATACTTAATATTTTGTTAGGTTCGGAAAATGCAAACATATATTTTTAAATTATATGTTAATGCGGTGACTCCCAATAACGAAAAATGTAAAAAAATGAAAAAACAGAAAATTATTTCCTTCACTGTTCATTTTAAGTATGGTTACAACAATTTATTTACAAAAAAAAAATATTTTTAAATGAAAATTATTGTAATTTAGAAGCATTTGTCTACTCAGTAGTTTAATTTAAACATTCAATTGCTGACATTTTATAGACAAATATGTTATATGATAGATGGATCCTAGAGTACATATACAAGCACCAAGGAGCACATGTCGATAGGTACTTTATTCTAATTTATTTCAAGTCAGTTATAAAATTAAAATCGGTAAGAACTATTGTAAATTAAAGTTTTTTTTAAATAGAATGGCTCGTGTTTTGGATTTTGTGTTATAGATTTCATTTTAATTATAAAATGAAACTGTTATATAGTTTCTTCCATCCAACTGATCATTCCCTACTTGGTAATTTTAAGCTCTCCGGTTGGGTCGTGACATAAAACAAATCAAACAAGACCCAAAATATTAGGATGATGCTCAACAATAATCATAAATTTAATTTTTTGAAATATTAAAATATGTCGCTTGTCTGATATTATTGAAGACTAAATGACTTGAGTGAAGTTTCATCATGCCTCACACTCTTATTCTTGGATGTCTTCAAAATAGAAGGCAAGATGAGGAATCAATTTCTTTAATAAGCAATGGCAGACAGCTCAATAACACCTACTTTAACTAAATCTAAACAGGCAACATTATTTCATTCACAAGAAAAATTACATCCAATAAAACAATTTAAGATTCACACATTTATTATTTACGCTTTAAAATCCTGCCTTTAAAATGGGGCATATATCCAACAGAAGATTGACAAATGAAACAAAAGAATATAAAACAACTGATGTTCACAAAAGCATGAGACAAAAGGATTAAATGAAATGTTAATGAATAGAAGTCAACAGAAACCCCAAAAAAAATACAAAATTAGTATTCGCGTCATACCAAAACTAGATAATCATAAATGTTGCAATTGTTACGAGAATGGGCAACTACCTGAAGAAAGGCTTCTCAATGGTCGTCAATTGGTTGACAAACTCAATAGAACCCCCAATATCACAAGTAATATCTGAAACTCCAACAAGACGGGATCCATTCTTTGCTAGCTCTTGTATTTGCTTTGTAGTAAGCAAACGAAGAAATCTACTTTCCCAATACATGCAATTGACTAACAAAAAATATATATTGGTTTAGATGTGCGTGCATAGATTAAGTAACATGAAATCTAATCCAATTATGAGCTGATGGATGGCAGAAAAATTAAAATAATTAGTTACAAGCATTCAATGAACCTAATAAAATATGTGCATTCAAAACTTTCTATAGAAGCCGTTTTTAAAATATGTCAAGTGTGCTTCCTTCCAATCAAATATAATAAACATCAAAAGCCCGAACAAAGCCTTCGCCTACCTGACTTGTTTTCTTTACTAAAGCCACCAAGGTGATAAGCCTCACCAAAAATAATTGAGGTTGTTAGTTGTTTCATTTTAAATCCTACCACAATCAACCTTCCTAAAAGAAGATTTAACTTGGATGTCCACCACTTGAAGTGAGATCATATCAGTTGGCCTGTATTTTCTATTGAAAGCTGAAATATTTTGAGCAGCTTCATTTATCAACATCAAGCTAAAAGCCAACTTTGATTATCATAGAGTCACAACCATCCGTTTATGTCCAGCCATTTACTTACATGTACAGAAAAATTCATCAGGCACTGTGTATGAATGATCATCACAACAGTGGAGTGTGGAGTCAGAAACTCAAAAACCCCATCATAATCCTTAATCAGTTTTCTAGAATCTAAAGAAAGCTTATGCGGAGCAAGATGAGCGATGGGTGGAGCAGTTAGCCTACATGCTTGAGCATTCAGCACATAGCATCTGTCTATTTCTCTTCCAGAGCAAAACAAAGATGATAAAACTTAATTGTAAAGATAATTAATATAAGAAAACTGTTAAAGAGTGCAATATAAATGGTATATTCTATCAAAAATTCTGAGATGTGATTTTCCTTGAGTAGCTTAATATTATGACGTTTTACTAATTTTATATTTTTATGTTGGTGTAATATTTCTTATGATAATTCCTAAGAAACATGTTCTCAGATGTTCAAAACATTTGTTCCCTCAGGTACGATTCGGTTGTTTGATTGCTTAATTAAACGCTTAACATTCATCTTAAGGAAATGAATTAAGGTCCAATCAAAAAATACCAATTAAAAGCCACATAATTATTTTGGCCACTACTAGTAGTAGTATGCTTGCTGGGCATTCAGTTGATGGGTTCGATGGGTTGCAGTTGACAAGGTCTGTGTAGTGTGCTATTTCCAAAAATATCAAGATTGTTCCCAAGAGCCTAGGCGATTCATCTGTGGCTTATTCAGGATTTGATAATAATTAATTTTATTTTGTGTATTTTAATAGTTTCTAGAGGTAATTCAGTTTCTGTGAGAATGATTATACTAATGTTGAGCACTAGATTAGCTCATTAAATTGAGCTTTAGTTATTTTAAAATGTGCTCAAGTGAAGAATTTATAAAGACTAGATTGCAAAGAAAAATTACTTTGCCTAGTCTATAAGTTTAGGTGTATATTAATGCAAAGTGATTTAGATACTACTGATGTTATAAGGATGATGAACTAATTGAAGTCAATATATCAATATAATTTTTGGCAAATTTGGCAAATTTTACTTTAAAACATATTTTAGAATTTTTAAAAATTATGCGAATATTTTCTATGATTTTTTGGAATATACTTGAATTGAACTTTTTTTTTTACTTTATTAATTGATTATGAAAAATTATTTTATCATTTAATAAGAGAAATTTGAGTTTTATCTTCATTACTGCACACTTTTGTATGATATCCCTCTTATAAAAAGAAAGCAATGCAAAAATACCACTTAAATTCGTTTTTGTTCAGAAAGATCTCTAATGACAGATAACCATATTTTCCAAGTTGATAGATAAGGAAATCGATTTGAACTAACTTGAATTCGAACTGTTTCAAAATTCATTTGAACTGATTCAAACCTAGTTCAGTCCTAGGGTGTGAACCCTTGATCTTTAGGTCAAGTCAATATATTGATGCGTACACAACCTTAGAGAGAGAGCATCATGACATCCTTGCGAGTCGGCAAAAAGAGGATGACGTAGCCCTCATCATTGAGCCATAGCTTGATAGCATAAGATTGTCTGTCGAACTTACAAGAATCTAGAAGAAACTTCCCAAAATGAGGATCTATATATATTTCAAAATGTTCAAAAGGTTCAAGTCAAGTGCACTCAAGGTCAATGTTTTTGTTGTCAAGCGAGGGGGAAGCAATAGTGGCATTCGAGCATGAAATATTGAGAATCTCACTCGGTGTGACCAAGCTAAACCAATGCATAAAGTTCGAGCCAGACTTAAGTTTCAAACAAAATTTAATCAAGGCAAGAACTCACTTGTCATTGTGCTCAATTTTGTGAAGTGAAGATAGATGACTCTGCAAAAGCATATTAGCCAATTCAAAGCAAAAGGAATTTTGATGGAGGGTCTCCTATCACTAATCCATTGTTGTCACCATAACTCGGATCGGGCCATCATCTCTACAACGATTAAATAGAAAACATGTGCAAGCTGAGGTGAATTAGTCTGTAATTGTCAATTACTTTGGTCTATATTTGCAGATTAATTGCCCATGTATTACCTCTTTTCAATACAAAGGATATTAGTTTAAAAGTGTATATTAAGAAGGATAAAGTCTCAAGTTTACCATTGATAATTAATAATTAAATGCAATAAATTTATTTCAGCTTCGAATTTATAAATAATATTGTTACAAAGATTTGTGAGCAAAAATTTCATAATTATCTAATTAACTTTATTATTTATGCTATCATTCTGAATTATGTAAATGAAGGATAATTAACATAAATTTCATGAACATTCATATATGCTTAAATTTTTAATTTTTTACTTGAATATTATTTAGAAAATTCATAAAACTTCAAATTTTAAGAAAATTTCAAAATTTTAGTATTTCTTTACTATATTAAAATATTCATGTTGATTATGTATTAATTAGTGTTAATGAAGCAACTATCTTATGCTTGGAGAATTCGAAATTATTTTTATTTTATTGAATTCACTAAGTTGTTTACATGTAATTCATACACTCTATATAATATTTTTCATTGAAAAATTTTATTATAAGTCTATAAAGAAAAGATATTTTCTCCATTATCCAACCAAAACATTGTACATCAATTCATTTGATATAATTAAATATTCATCCTATTTAAAAATTAAACAAGGTTAATGAAGCAAATATATCATCAAAATATTAAGTTATTCACATATGATTTCTGGTATGAATAATATATTATGATCGAAAATAAAATCAATATGAATTTCTAAAATATTATTTGTTTTCTCTATTACCTAAACAAACTAGTATATCTTAAAACCTTCCATACTGTGTAGATTGGAGCCTCTAATCTAGCCCAAAATATCCTAACAACTACTGCTTTTTGGAGTTCTTTTTAGGGAGGATTTTGGGAAGATATTTAAAGGCTAACACTATCTAGACATTCTTAACCATTCCTTTGCCTATCAACAGAGAACTGGATGAAAAGAAAGCTATGATAATGCTAAGTTTATAAAATTCCAAGTTATATCCATTTTAAGAAAACATAAAGAGAAAATAAAAGAGTCTATCTCATCTAGCTCTTCGATTCCATTAATTTTGTGATTTCTTGTATTCAATATCTATAAGTTATTGCCCCACACTATTTAGCGGCCCTGGATTGGTGTGACTATGGTTACAATTTGGGTATTATAAGTGGAAAAATAAAAGAAAGAATCAAGTTTGTTGTAGTTGTAACCATCTAAACTTTTATAAAAATTATAAAACAATGGTGATTCATTCACATCAGTGACTTCGAGGATGTCTCTAAGAGCCCATAGGCATAATTAGATCATGCAACAAAAACCATACAAAAGAGATAAAGGCCTGTAGGCTCCCATTTGATCAAAGTTCATAAGAAGACAATAAAGAAGAGTTGAATTTTTAAACTTATTTTAAAAAGCTTTTTCTTAAGGGCCCGTTTCGGGCAGCTTATAAGTGCGGGCAGCGTTTTTTAAAAGCTATCTCACGTTTGGAAAATACATTTCGACAGCTCATCCAAAAACGCTGTTAGATTTTTACACTAAACGCAAAGCGCGGGTCGAAACATGCAGGTCACCTGAGGACCGCGTTTCAGGATAAGCTGCTTATCTAGATAAGCACAAGCTGTCCCAAATGCACCCTAAATTTGCAATCAATGATTAATATAATTCCTCCTAGAATTATCTAATAATTTTAACATGTCTAGAATTTCAATATGGATAACATTTCCTCTTATGATAGAGTTTGCTTAGCGATCGATTATATTTACACATAAAAGAATTATTTATACAAAGGCTTAGAAGTCTACATAAAAACAGTCAGAATCTCACTATTCTTTTTCATTTTTTTGCCCTCTACTTTTTAATGTCATGTCGAGCTGTTAAAGGTGAGACTCTCAATTTTATAGGAGGAAGCAAAGCATATAGATCCCTTACTGCAGACGTTCTCTACCATTTCTATATATTATAACTCAAACGAATAACTGTAGAACCTCTTGATACCAAACTCCCCTTTTTTAGTATTGTTGTCGTTGGTTGCCTTCATGCATGTGATACTCTGTATATTCATGGATCCCACTACTGCAGCGACACTAAAGTTGAAAAAATATAGTAGTTTTTTCCCCTTTCAAATAAAATAGAAAAAATGAATCAATCTCCATCAAAAGAAAACTAAAAACGATGTTGCTACACAGGCCACTTCGTTTTTCCTAGTTTTTTATTATATATTTTATGATTGGTTTGAGAGTGCACTAATTCGTTTAAATAAAGTTTTAGTTTCCGATTGATGTGTGTTTCATGGATTTTTCATTTCTATAAGAAATTTATGTCTAGTTAATAATTGAATTATCATTTAAGATGATTTTTGTATGCTATTTCTCATTTTGCATAGAAAGAAAAACATAATCAAAATTACAAAATAGTAGACTGAAAGTAAACTGAGTGCATAATGTTATGCATCTCATTCTCGGTCAACACCACAAAACTCTACATCCTACTTGTTCTGCATCAAAAGTTATATC